TAAACTGCTTTTTCTTAGATGTAAAAAATTGAATCCATTTGACTGTATGATTTAGTGAACTGTAAAGTGCCTTGATGTGACATGTGTTGTGAATTGGCGCTATATAAATAAACTGAATTGAGAAAAGAAAAAATATTTATATTTTTTTTATTTACTTTACTCATTTAGCTTTTCTTAATGCAATTTGAATCAACAATTTAAAAAGAAAACACTAAAAACAACAATTTCATTATCAAATTCTAAGTAGATTACAAAAAAAAAAAAAAAGTGCTATTTTGTCATCTAAGCAAAAGTCCACAAAATCTAAAGCCCAGATGTGGCTCATTTCTTAGGACCATCATAACTATTTAGTGTTAAATATGTTAACCTGGCTGCATAATATTAGGAAAACCGATAACATCCAGATTATGATTGAAAATATTAAACCCTTTGTGAGTTTCTGGGAGTCAGGTGTTGCCATGTCGCAAAGTCAACGTCTGTTCTACATTGATGTATTATAGCATGGCAGCAGAAATACACATAAGCTGCCAATTATGCATCCTGCCAGTCCTTCACAACAGACATCGAAGACATGGAAACAACAATGTCAGCTGCAATTCAATATATTGTGCAGCTCCGTGTAAGCAGCCTGTATGCTGGCAGCCCTTCACTCAATCATTTTCAGTGACTAGATTGCTGTGCTTCCAAATCCCATAACTATCAGCATGACAGATGCCATTCTGTCAGGGTAATTCACAGGCATCATCTTGGCTTAATTAAGGCTCTCGTTAATGATTCATCTGCAATAAAATGTTTGGAAAAAATAAACTTTTCAAATTGATGAACAAAATTCAACAAAAGAAATCAAACCATTCAGCAGCAAGAAGCTGAAGCATCTGTTTTGTGTTTAACTCCTCGTCTTAAAGGAATAGTACACCCAAAACATGATTAGCCTTCATTTTCTACTCACCTCCATGCTGAACAACACTCTGGAGTACTTTTTTGATATCTCAAATGCATCTGGAGATCTGGGAGGCTTCTTGCTGTCTGCTGACATTCAAATAATGGAGGTCCATGGCGCCCGAGACAGAAAGGTCCATAAAAGTCCACAAAAACGTGTCAATATTCCTCCATACTGCTCGTCCAATGTAATCCAAGTGTCCTGAGTGGGTAGCATCCAGAATTTACTCGAAACGAAGTCATTTAGAATGTTTTTAGAGCATAAACAGTAGTGTATAGGATTTCCTAATAGCGCCCCCATGCGCGCTCGCGATTCTACGGAAGCCGGCAGACCAAACCAGCGCATTCAGCTCGGCAAAGAACTCATGCTCTTCCTCAACACTGAAGTCCTCAGACATTTTTCTTTCGTTGTTTCTTTCTTTGCACAGGTAAACAGCACATTTCTTCTTCTACGCTTGCATTATCGGCAGACCAGACGCTGAATGCGCACTTTCTTCCGGTTTGGTCTAATTTTAAATGTAATTTTAAGAAATTACATTTTTGGACATTTTTATATTTGTAACTGTTTTTACTGTATGTTTTTAATGTGGACCCCAGGAAGACTAGCTGTTTGCCATGGCAACAGCTAATGGGGATCCTTAATAAAATTACAAATTATTATATAACTTTAAAAACAAATATGGGTATTTTAATGGCAAAAATTAATGTCAACTTGCCCGAATATATTTAGAAAAATAACAAAAGTGCTTCTATAAGAAATTCATGAAACACTCTGAGAGTGAAAGAAACACCCTTTTTTTTTGGTACAAAATAACCTTAGAGGAATTATTGCCGATACCGGCACTTAAATTGTTTTAGTTTATAAACCTACATATAATTGTTAACTAGGCTTATCAACTTTTGAACTTTACTTTTTAACTTTTCAATTAGCTTTTTACCTTTTCTACCTTGACTTTTAAACTTTTTTATTTTTGAACTTAATTTACAGTAGGTAATATATAATTCAAGGGCTCATTTAATTGGTCAAATGCCAAAATAAGATGTACAGCCATGTGGCAGGATCTTTGCTGAATGGCTGGATATAGATCTTGTGCTTCTAGACCTCACTGATGGTGGGGCTCCATTTGTAAGCGGTATGCAAGTGCTCAAAAATGTTAACTTGTCCTATAAATGGTTAAGAAAAAGAAGGTTCAGCTTAGCTGGGTTTCTGCATTTAGAGGATTTATTCAAATACCATAAAGATAATTACAAAAACTAAAGTAATAATCTCTACTAATTCTGACCAAATCCTGCAACGATGTCTGGGAAATAATGTCTTAAAAAAAAAAAAAAAAAAGTGTTTCTTTGGCAAGAGAAAACAAATTGTATTTGGCTGGAGGCTCTCATATCTCTCCTGCTGAGGTGTCCTTATCTTTGTGAGCTGCGACCTTCCTGTGGTGGTTGTCAGATTAATCATCATCTAAGAGGATCAGTCAAGAAACAATAAAACAAATCTCACAATTGTGGCAAAGTCAATGATGTTAAGGATTCTCTCAGGTTGTCAAGCTGTAAAAACCTAAATTAAATCAATGCATGAGTTGCAGGAGAATTCAGTTACAGGGAATGATGCGATCAGTCACACAGCAGGGCCACAATAACCAAGGGGTTTCAATCCTGCCTTGTACAAAAAAAAAAAAAAAAAAAAAGAGCTGAACTACCCAAGTTCAAGGTGAAAAAGCAATAGCGCCCCCATGTGTTTACAAATGGCTTAGACTCACAGAATTGTACTTTTTAATTTTGAGAAAACTAAATCAAATGCCAACTTTACCTACTTTTAAGTTTATGCAAAGCTATTCATTCTAAATTATGACCCTTAAAAAAACAGAAGACAACTGTTAAGCTGCTTGTGTTTTTTTTCTGGTTCTGAATGCTTACAGATCCCAGGTTAAATCCCCACATTTCACCTAAAATCCCCCCTTAAACATATGTGTGGACACACAGACATGAGCCCCGCATGCTTTGTTATTAAATTAACCTTTTCTCTAACTGATATAGAGCACGCGCGCAGGAATGACTCTCAGCCTAACGTCATTAGGCCGGCCTCTGAATCTGATTGCATCTCACTCCTCAGACAATAAGATCACGGCTGCACGCTGCCCACAAAACACAATGAAGGTCATCTTTGTCCTCTAGATGAAGAAGCCAAGGGACATGTCCAGGATGGCTCTCTGGCATTTGTGTTTAGATTTTAAGAATCTTAACCTTAAAGATGAATCCAGTTGAACAGCCAATCATAACGCAGCTGTAACTGAACGCAGGCTTTCACACACACACTGGATGAACCAGTTGGGAGCAGAAAAGGATAAGACCCATTAACCCAACAAATCCACAGGTCAGAAGCAATTTAAAAACTAAAAATAAATCAGATGATCACACAGACTGTTTTCCCCGTACTTGTTTGAAAGCACAGTGCCATCTGCTGTACACTGAGCCTTGTTTAAAAAAACGCTAAACTAATCACAAATACTTGTTATATCAGAATTAATCTCTGCTTCTCAGAATACTATTTGATATGATTTTCAGCTTTTGTCTGGATTTATTTAGAAATGATACTTGTTAGAATATTTAAGCTGTGTTGAGGAAAATTCCTCTGCTAAAATTCTTGAGGTCTTGTAAAAGAAAAACAAGATTATTAATAGATGTGTCCAGTGTCTAATGTGGGAAAATGGGGTAAAAAAAAAACAAACTGAGCAGCTGTTATGATTTGGGTTAAAAGTTTGGCTTTAGGGTTAGATTTACAACCTCAAATACAAATGCAGACAACCATGTAACTACTGGCAGAGAGAAAGAAAAACAAGCTGTCAAAATATCAGTGGGAAAAGAAAAAAGAAAGTTTGCCTCTTAATGCCAGTAAATATTTTTCCATTCTTTATTGTGAAGGCTATAAATACTTTCTGACATGTCATTTTTATTCTAATCTCAAAACAAAGCATTATATTTTTACATAATTTTACTAATGATTGCAAGATCAAGGTGCGATTGTGTTCAAGAAAATAAGATCAGGAAAAATAAGACTGATATTGTTTATTGTTGCGATATCACCAGTTGTGATTAGCTCAATCGTTTTCCCCTCCTTTACTATTCCTACAGGTTATCATCTCTGCTACTGATCTCTATAACTGTTTTGACATAAATGACAGCAAAATCCCATCAAAGTGAACAAATTTAAACTTGACCTGTACAATATAAGGAAAACATTTTATTGCTGAATATTTTGATAATATAAAAAAAGCAAATATGCAACCCGGTTAATGTCTGTTTAGGTTAATTATATCCATAGAGTGTTAAGTAGTCTGTCCAGCTACAGGAAACTAATGCATTTAATTAACTTCATCCCCATAAAAGTAGAATCTGTCTAAATCTGCTGTATTGTTTTAGCTTGTTGATAACTTTCCCAGAATATCTTAATGCTTTTCAAAGACAGGTTCTGCTGCAATAAACAACCAGCAATAATTCATTAATTGGATCTAAAATACAATTACTATGACATGCACATTCCATGTTTAACTAGCTTCAGAAAACTGATGAATATTAGTTAAAATTATGGAAAGTGTCTCAGAGTGGGGTAGTATTGAGTGGTCAGTATGACTAAAGAATTGCTGTCATTTATAATTAGTCAATTTAAAGGTATAGTGGATGTTCTTCTTCCGGGTGGATCATCAAAATTAGTGGTCCTCCTAATTGTCAGTCTTTCTGGTGATATGTTTACATAAGGCCGTCCTACGTGCTCGTTCCCATTTTCACTTACTGGTGGTGAGTCTTGTGAGTTTTGGAAAGTAAGCTTGTATGAGCGATGCAAACAGCAACTTTTAAACAGAGCGTCCACAAGTTGAAATGGACTTATGCATGCTGGAGCATGCACTTTATAGGCATTCCCTCTCAGAAGTAGGTACAGGGTTGTTCATGTGCAATTTTTTAAGCGGAGAGGTTGGGTCTTTCAGCCTGTATGTATGCATTTGTGTTAAATTCTTATATCCAGTCAAGGTAAAAACTTTGGTGATATTTAAGTCCATATAAACTACTTCTGGTTTCTGATATCACCATGTGCACCAATTAAGTAGAAGGTTCGCTATAAACAGGATATTATTTCTGATTATGTGGGGCAGAAAACCAAAGCTGGAGTATAAATAGCAATCACTCACCGTACTAGAGGTGAGCGAAGGGTCGGACTTTCCGAGGTTCAGGGATCGCATGCGGACCAGATTGGAGGTGTCAGATGACGGCTGCTGCAGCGTCTGGGTCTGTTGAAGGCTGGGAGGCAGCAACAGGTACTTTCCTGCAAAACGCCACAATCATACCAGCTGAAAAGCACATTTCATTTGGCATATTACCAATAGACAATGATTAAGTTTTACACTACAGTAAATATGAAAACTCTGGATTTATAATTAGGATTGTGTGCAAAAAAACAAAAACAAGGAAGAAATGAACATGGCTTGATTTAACTGTAATAACCTTTGTCAGGTACAAGTCAAAGGCTGCTCTGCAACATGAGAAAATCCCTGCTGTCTATTACTGCACCTGTTAGGCACTTTAACCTTCTTACAAAACAAGCAGGAAGTAAGACAGTTAAATTAGGCCAGGGGAAAGCCTATTAAAAGCTCACTTCCAACCAAACAATTACATACGCCCAGAAAAGAAATGCTCCGGTTCAAGAAGGGAAACACATCTAAAAATGTTTAATATGTTTTAATATCATTTAATCCACTTTTATTCCTTGCAGCTAGATGGCAGTAAAAGCCATTTTGTCTGCCGATCCCCCTCATTAATGCCTCTTCTAGTCATAAAGTCTCAGTAAAGTAAACAAAAATAAAAGCTTACAAACTGAAAACGTCAGCAATATGCACAGTTTTAATGCCTCAAATGATCATTTCTTATTAATCTGAACATATATTTTTTTATTGTACTGTAAGGAAAAATACAAGAAGCTGTAATTGTTTTTCCCCAAATATAAAAAACAAAAACCAAAACAAAGGAAGGGATCTGTGCTCTTAACCGCAAGAGGATGTCTCCAGTTCATTTATCCTGAGAAAAGAATCTATTTTTATCAGGTGATACGAAGGGCGGCTGTTTTAGCTTCATCGCTTGCTGACAACATTTATCAACAAACTGAATACAGGATCTGTTAAAAAGGTTTAATGGGGGTATTTTAGTCTTTTCCAAAAGCCAGAACAAACACTTGCAAGACAGTACAAGATCTGGATAAGGAAAATAAATCCAAATATTTTCAAAGCATAATACAATTTTAATACCTTTTCCTGCAAGCTGTTGAAAGGTTAAACTGCAGCCAAATCTCAACATATTGTATTTTAGCACCTCTAACAATGAAAAAAAACACCTTCTATATGAATTTATTAGAGTTTGGTTTTGTCTCTAATTGGATCTTTTTGAGTTTAATCTCTTTTCCATTCTAATTATGGTTGCAGGACAAACACAGACCCTCTTCCAGCCTTGCTCTACATACCACTAATTGTTTTCATTTTTCTATGAATTGCTCTCAGATAGTTAAGGAAGGACTGTAATTGTTTTACAGGTATTTTTTGGCTTAAGATAGGCATGTATCCGTCCAACTTGAATGGTAGGTTCTCTCGACTTTCCCGTTTTGAGGAGTGTCTGAGAAATAAATCTTTGTGACTTCATATTTACACCCCAGAGAGACAAGATGCCCTGGATCACCTCTTTTTATTTTGGTTTTTTAAAGTTCCTATTCTTTTCCAATCTAATCAACTTTTTAAAATAAAGAAATTAGAAAACTTTCCTTAAAAAGAATTTAGGAAATATGATTTTGCAAAAAAAAAAACATGAAAAAATACAGCCGCCTCCACAATCTTATTGCAACACTGGAAAAAAAGTAATGCAACCGTCTTTGGCTTTACATCATCATATTTAGCTACTTTAACACATGTTTGCATGGTAGAACATAAAACCATATATTAAAGTAACTAAACATAATAAAGTAGGTGCCAGAAATGGTTGCATATTTTTTGGGGTGAAATAGATAGAAAATTAATCATATTTGGGCTTTTTTTTTTTGGATAAGAACAGACAGCGACAAATACAGTTACCATCTAATCTTTCATGAATCTGGTTGTTTAATAAAAGATCTTTACAGAGAAATAAAACATCTAGTACAGCAAATTGGAACAAAACTCAATTAGCTGACATGAAAAGAAAAAGGAGAAGTAATCAGAGGCAGAAACTGGTAACAGCTTATAAAGACACCTTAAATATAGATGTTGCTGTAATTTGTAGTTTGCAAAGCAGTGGATAAGGCCTGGCATAAGCACAATTTGTGCAGCCAAGATTGAAAATTATAAAAAAGATTCAGTACCATGTCAATAGCATGTTAAAGCCTACACCAAATCCATGTAATACAAAAAAATCTGACTGATATTCTACCAAGAAAAAAAGCAAAATAAAATCATCAGAATTATCAGAAGATGGTAAGTTAGAAACCTTTGTCTGCTGTGTCATATTTCTGCTATCAATGCTTTAAATCCAGGAAAATTGGAGTGTGAATAAACAGGATGAGAAGGAAAAAGTGAGGCGCTTCCTTATGGGTGAATGTTTTTCCTGACAACAGGCCCTCACATCCCGGCATCGAGGAAGTGATCACAAACTACTCAACACTTGGAGAGGTGTGAATCAGCACATACGGGTATTGATGGATTTATCATAGCCATATTTTTAAAAAATTATGCATTGGAACTTTGAGTAAATTAATGCAAAAAAAATTCATTTGAAAGTATCTCCAATAAGCCTATCAATGTAACCTTATCCAAAACCCAATCACCCATAGAGGATTTTGAAGCCAATGATGTGAAATGAAAATTAAAGTCTTTTAAATACCTTTGAGGTCACAATGAGCAAAGAACAACACTTAATGTTCTTCACTTTCTGCTGAATGAATGAATAATTCAGTGCTTTAATCTATGCTCACTGTTTAGAGATCTTCCTGCTGGGTGTGTAAACTAGCTCTAGAAGAAAACATTTGTTTAGCAATACCAAAAGGAAACATCCATGCTGGCTTAAGCTTCATTTATCCATCCTTTTATCCTTTTTTGTGGCAACATACAACTAAAGGTTAATGCATTTATCCAAAGCTGCATCCATTTTATTAGTCAAAAGGTCAGCAGTGTTTTTTTAATCAACAAGGTGAAATCCTCTATATATACAGCTATAAAAATAATCCGACTTTTAAAGGCGTAAAATACACAAAGCCAGAGTTGTTCTAATTTACTGCAATAAACAAACCAAGCAGGAAGACGGAACAAAAGAGCCATTTATTGGTTTGTGTCCAAAGGGGAAATTTATTCATAAGACCAAGAAACTTTCAATCCACAGGAAGAAAGAAACTTGTGATCTGTTGGCTTTTTTCTTTTTTGTTTTTAATATTTATACTCTTTAACAATCTGACTAAGAAAATACTGACATGTTTGTGTATCTTGATTGGGGGAACTTGTTGTGTATTACTCGTATTGTTTGTGATGTCCAAGTGAGACTTAAAAAGGGTATTTTTCATCTTAGTAATCTTTTTCCAGGTTAAATTAAGGCTAAAGAAAAAATAAAATTATCGAAAAGCGTCTTAGACATTTAACAGCATGGCACAAGTAAAACTATTTTAGTTCCTTTAACTTCTGACTAAGAAAATAAAGATTCAAGACAAAATACTCCCACTTGCAGTAGAGATGCAAAGGTACAAATACCTAAACATGCAGCAAATGCAAAAAGTGCAACAAACACAAAGATGAGACTAGCAAACATACACCACCGTTCAAAAGTTTGGGGTCACAGCGAAATGTCCTTATTTTATAAGGAAAAGCACTGTACTTTTCAATGAAGATAACTTTAAACTAGTCTTAACTTTAAAATAAATACACTCTATACATTGCTAATGTGGTAAATGACTATTCTAGCTGCAAATGTCTGGTTTTTGGTGCAATATCTCCATAGGTGTATAGAGGCCCATTTCCAGCAACTATCACTCCAGTGTTCTAATGGTACAATGCTTTTGCTCATTGGCTCAGAAGGCTAATTGATGTTTAGAAAACCCTTGTGCAATCATGTTCACACATCTGAAAATAATTTAGTTTGTTGCAGATGCTACAAAACTGACTTTCCTTTGAGCAGATTGAGTTTCTGGAGCATTTGTGGGGTCAATTAAACGCTCAAAATGGCCAGAAAAAGAGAACTTTCATCTGAAACTCGACAGTCTATTCTTGTTCTTAGAAATGAAGGCTATTCCATGCGAGAAATTGCTAAGAAATTGAAGATTTCCTAGAACGGTGTGTACTACTCGTCTTCAGAGGAATATTTTAGTGTCTAATTTCATAACAGGTCCTTCAGTTAGAACAGCATGACATATTTCCCTAAATGAAATCCATTCTGAGAAGAATAGATCATATCCAATGCCATGTTCTGGAGAGGGTGTAAGTAGTTTAACCAATTCTTGATCCACTTGTGCTGAAATATCTTGAGCAAGTCACAACACTAAGCATATAAAGTGGTCAAATAAAAAAATACTTTTGATTTTTTTTTTTATAAAATAATGCTTAAAATCTTGCCTCAACTCGTTCCTGCGAATTACGCCCCTGTGAGCGGCTAGTTTTGACTGGTTCCCTGAGGTATGTGATACAGACTTCATCCTGCTGCCTTTCACTCCCAATAAACTAGCTTGTAGAGGAAAAGCAGATGGGAGGACAACGAAAAGGTTTCTAAATAAACCATTGAAATTAATAAAAAGATAAAACCTTGAATAACGCTTGTTTTACAACAAGCCTTTTTAAGAAGCAGCCCACAGGCTGAATCCGCCCTGCTCAGAACTTGAATATGGTCCTTTGAACATTTAGAAATAGGGAGACAATCCTTCCATACTGAAGCAACCATTTATCCCTTTGTCTAAGAAATGAATAAAACTGAGTGTCGTAAAGATCTAATTTATATAATCAGGTCAAAGAGCAGCTTATTACCAACAAACCTGCACTTCAGTTTAGTCAGACTCTGATTTTTACATAATGAGACTTCGTCAAAGTGTCCTTTCAGTCAAATGTCAGCTAAAGCACCGACTTCTGTTCTGGGAGCTAGAAAGTTTCCCACAACCTGCCTCTGCGGCAGCTTTTATACTCGCATCAACAGGAAAATGTTCAGCAGCTTATTGGAGAGACCTATGATTACTCTTCTCTGAAGTGGCTTGCTAGACTTGCTGAGCAAGTTTAAAGACTCTTTTCTACCTTCAACTAGGACGGCCTTGGGGTTATTTCATAATAAAGATGCTCTGACTGGTGACAAAAGTTGGTTATGTCCATAAAAATAAAAAACAACCAGGTCAAAGCAAAGTCTTTCTCTGCCTTTGATATTAACCATTACAGATCTTTTTTTCCTATGAGTAAGAGTAATTACAGTAAACATGGGCTGTACGGGAATCCACAGCATCTACATGTGCTTTGTGTTTTTAAAAACAAAGGACGTCATGCATTTGTCATCAGTAAGACAACAGTATGAGTCACAATGGTGGCATAGATTTAAAAAAAATAAAAAAACAGATCAGAAGGAAGTCCACAAAATCAATATCTGTTAGTTTCTTTTTAGCTGGTAAATCTGCTTGTAAGAGATGAATAAATACAAAGATATTACCTGTTAAACCACCACCCAGGCTTCTTCTACGAAGCTGTTTCCCATCCTCACTGAGATGCCTTTTGAATTTCAGGGCAGGCCCCAATCCGTGGGATAGCTCAGGAATACTGGACTTTCTCAGGAGTGAAGGAGGTGGATAAAGGATGTGGTCCAACTGCAGAAAATTGACACAAAATGAGAAACCACAAGGACGATGAAAAGTAAGGAAGATAGACTAAAGATTACATGTTAGAGCAAATTAAAAGGGGTTACCAGGTGTTTGCAAATAAAATATTCAAAAGAAACCAAAAACCAACTAGAGATGTCAAGAAAAAAAATAATCCTTTCTAAATTTTTTCACCGTTTTGAAACTAAAAGTATAAAAATTCTTATGTGTTTTGTACTATTTGCAGTTTTTTTCTACTTGGGAGAACAACTATATCCTTCATGTAGATTTTCTTGCAAAATAAGTGGATAATAAAAACCTTGCAAAGCCAGATATTTAAATTACATAAAGTAAATTTCCAAATGAGGGTATTTGGATTCAAAAAAATACAAATCTCTGCAATTTTCTTGCATAACAACAATGATAAACTTTAGTTATTTCATATCCAATACCGAAACAAAGAAAAAACCTCATTGTCAGAGACATCTAGTAAACAAATTCAGGAATAACAGATTACATATTGCATTCTTCCTTGTTGTCTAATGCAGGCCTATTGTCCTGTCTGAAGAGGACACGGTGGAGCTCAGACATCATAACAAAGCCCAGTGGTGAGGAAGAGGCCCTCCCTGAGAATACAAAGATACACAGAGCTGAAAGCAGTGTGTGGAAGGAAATGCCCCCTACTTCCCCCAGGGACTGATTCATGATACCAGCAGTGAGAGGAATAAATACAAGCAAACCTTTGTAGAAAGGGTAACAGTGATGTAGAACCTCACATCATTAAACAGACACCAAAACAAGCATTCATAGAACACCACACCGACCATCATTCTGCTTATATATTAAGGTAATTAAGGTACAGTCAGCAATTTGGTAAAGGCAGACCAAGTACAGTCATATTGATGTAGCTTAATGAGAAGTGACCTTTGATCATTGTTTTTAACCATTCCTCATAGAGTGGAGGTTGTTTTTTCATCCAGTGCCTTAATATAATCCGTTTTGCTGTTGAAAGAGAGAGTATTATCCACCTTCTTTCAAAGGAAGAGAAGTGTGAGTCCGGAAGTTCTGTGGTTGAACCCAAAATGGAGAGTATTTCAGAAATTATAAATCTCTTTTTTAATATAGTGAAAATTATGTCCATAATATTTTTCCACCAGTCCTGAAGAGTTGGGCAACTCCAAAGTATGTGAAAGATGGATCCACTATGTTTGTTGCATCTCTGTGGGAATCAAGTTCTATTTGTGGAGCTGTTGGGGGGTAAATGCCATGTGTAGATTATCTTAAACTGAATAAATCTGCTACCAATTTGCAATTGCAAAGAAGATTCCCAGTCGTCTTGAGATATGCCCAAAGCCGAATCCTCCGCCCAGTGTTTTTTGGGATATTATAATATATATATATATATATATATATATATATATATATATATATATATATATATACCCAAACACAGACTAAATAAGACATTTTTAATGTGAAATAAAGTTTCATATTAAAAATTTCGCTGGAACTCTTAAGGGGAAAATACACCGGAAAGGTTTACAGCGCCTGATGCAAGCGGCATAACGTAAGCGGCGCGGTTAACTAGCGTTTCTGTGGAAACAGAATTTTACACCAGATGTTAATAACCATCCTATTTGCTGCACAACTAGGATACTTATAAGGTGCAATGAGGGACAGGTGACTTTTTCAGCTGTGCACTTTTTTTGTGACTCGCTTTTACAATGTTGCTTTACCATCGCCCTCCGCTCCTATCAAATTTGCAATTAACTTCTGCAAACATCACAAAAAGCTCTCTGAGAATCACCTGTTCCTGACCTCAACCAGCCTTTGTTGTTTCCATCGTCTTTTACATTAAATTTGTTTACCTGTTCGGTTTTGGGAGCTCTGGCACAGCTCTGTGACGACTGCAGCTGTACTTCTTGTGCATTTAAAAAAAACGCCTGTAAATGAGATTGATATTCTTTTAATAATTTGATCCAATCCATTTGCAGGACACTGCTTGGTTCGTGGGACAGCAGGACAGAAGTGAAAAATAAGGGGACTATACTTCCTCAGAAAGCTGAGGACCTTTGGTGTTTGAAGCAAGATGCTACATATCTTCTATCAGCCTATTGTGGAGAGTTTGATCTCCTCTGCTGTCATCTGCTGGGGCAACAGCATCAGATCAAATGATTAAAAATAGCACAACAAGCTAATAAATAAGGGCGGCTCTGTTCTAGGAACGCCTCTGGAGATCATTTCAAAAAGAAGAATTCAACATAGAGTGAAGAAGATAATGGACAGAGAGCATCCTTTTCAGAGGATTGACAAAACAGCAGATCGTCTTCAGTCAGAAGCTTTTACAGATCTGGTGCAAGGCAGACCACTACAGAAGATCCTCACTGCCTACAGCTATCAACACCTACAACGATTGGTTAAAACATTCCTGATGAGTTACTGCAATATTTCAGCTCCTGGATTAATGAAGTGTTTGAATTCAATTAAATCAAATCAAATCTGTGGATAATAAAAATAAAAGCTTCATGACTCACAAGAGATGGACAATTTATTGCATTTGCATAAAAAATGCAATAAAAAAAAAGATAAATAATTGTCATTTTCCAATAGTGAAGGCATTAGATTTATGGTTGCATTACATTTAACCAGAGTAAGAAGCATTGTTTCTCACTCCAGCTCTTAAATTGCTTGTAATGCTGATAGAATCTGATAGAAAGGAGGAGAGAGCTGTAGCTAGAGCGCACATCCATGCATGAAATAAACCTTTTTCCATGCAGCAGTAAAGTTCTGCAACAAAGGACCCTGGACAAGAGAGCATCCAAGGGCGTGAATTAAAAAAAATAAAAAATAAATAAGAAAGAAAGAAAATCAGACTTGTTTGTTCAATGCTCTCTACACTTCAAATGTTGAACTTAGCAAGTTAATCTTTTAAATTAAATAATGAAATTAGTTCTTTCTACAAAATACAATTGAATTTGATCAATAAAGGCAGAGGTTAAATTTTTTTTTTAATTAGACCTCGTCTAAAAAAATGGATAGGATAAGACAGGATAGGACAGATTTGGTGTTCACTACAGAGGATAATCTAAAGAAAAATCACAATTTTCTTAAAATAAAAATAAAGAATTTTAATGAATCTCTGGCAAATCTATACAGTTTAGTAAGTTGTTTTTTTATTTATAAAATGTACTGTATCGTGACGCAATAAAACTGCCCAAATTCTATTTCACATTTACATATAAATTTCTAAGGTCACATATTTTGGCAGTTTTTATTACCATTGGACTATTCCAAGTGGCAATTAGTAATATCTTTGACAAAGTTTCATAAGTATACTTAAAACAAATAATTAGATAACTTTTATCTCTTGTTAAACCCATCCCAACACCATCAGTGTTAAAAGTTTAGTGTAGGACTTATAAACCCGTTATTGGGTAATAGTCAACCATATGGAGAAGTGTTTTATAGTATTAGAAATGAGAAAGACAATGCATCAAAACAGATAACATTACTATATAGATGGTAGGATAAAATAAATATATATTTTATTCAGAAATAAAGTACGTTTTCACCCGCAATGTTAGTGATCCCTTATCCTTTTGCCAATAACGATGAGCAATATTGTTTTGTCTAAAGCATGTTTTGGGTAAAACAACTGTCATGCTAAAGATTTGTCATCCTTAAATGTCAACTATAGACCATGTATGTGTGCAAAGACTCAAAGACAGGTCAAACCACTGCAATTGTCACTTCAGCTGCCAATGGGGGCAATAAACACCGTCTGCATTTCAAAATGACAGTTTTGAATAATTCAAAGACATTAAGCTGATGGCTGCAGCTTTTTAAATAGAGTCAGAATATGATTGGAGTTCAGGAACAGAGCTGACAGCCCAGACACAGTAGGTATACAGTATAAACAGTAGGCGGCTTTTGTTTATTGGTTGTGCTACGAGTTAATCTGCTCAACCGTTTCTTTCCTAGATGGATTCATGAATGGAGCTACTTTAGATTTACCTTTTCTAACATAGAAGTGATTTAAGGATCACTGCTTTTATGTTTCTTTTGTGCGTCTACTTTTGTCTTCTTGATCCCCCCGTTGACCTCGGCAGAAGGCCGCTCACACAGAGCCTGCTGGAGGTTTCTTCCTGTTAGAAGGGAGTTTGTTGTCCCCATTGTTGCAGGCATGCATGTGAGGGATTGCTGCAAAGCCTTAATCCAAGGGAGTCAGTTGAGTTTCCATGGATAGAAAACTTTTAACCAATTTGTCTTGATTGAGTAGTCTCTGTAAAGTGCCCTGAAATGACGTCTTGTGAATTGGCGCCATTTATATGTCAAATTAATTTAATTTGAAAAAGAACAAGGTAAGTTGTGGTTAATTTGTGCAACAAAGAAGCAGTTTATTTAAGAGCAATATATGTGTTTGCGAGGGACTATACTTAAAGTAGGGAGAGATTTGTATTTCACGCATCATCCTTCATTTTATTTTGCAAAACAAGAGTGCATGTCACCCATCTTCTCCTCCCAATTCAGATTCTGTTAAAAATGTTAAAAAGTAAGAATAATCTCTAGTTTAAAGCATGCTGCTGGGTAACTGCTTTCATCTTTAATGACAGACAGCTTTACTGAGAAGCACAGAGACCTGAACTTTACCAACTAGCAGAGTTTTCACTTCCAGTTTTGACAAAGGCACTGCTACCAAGAAATGACGAGAAAGTGAAAACATGCCAACTGTTTACACAAAGGGCCGCTACTTTCCCTGCAAAACAGGAAAGACAAGTCAAATCTAGCAGTGATATCCAAAAGCAAGAGAATTTAAATTTTTATCATGGAATTAACAAATTTACATTAATATTCCCAAAATTTGGAGTGAAATTTGAAATAAATGACCTGAAGTTCCCACAAAAGACCTGATGCAATTTGCTAAATATAAAGTAATGCAAATAAATAATGCTTAAAGAAATGCACCTTACGTTAGACTCTGCACTGAAGCAGTGTCTAAACAAACACCA